CTGCCGTTGACTTACAGACCACAACGATTTCCTGAAGTATTAACCACCAAGAAAGAAAGAAAATTCTTGATGTCCAGTGAGGTAAGAGTCATCCTATATGTGTGTGTACATCTCAGGAATAAAGGCTTGCATGAGAATTGATGGAAATGCATGCTGTGACAGGAGTTCTGGCACCAGAGCGGCTGCTTCTTTAAACAACAAACATGCGTGGTCACACCCACAATCATCTATGATTTTTCTGTTCCAAAGTCATGCATTAATAACCAGCAAACATTTCATTCAACTCTTGAAGGGCAGTGTGGGTGAAAGGTGGCGTGTGTGATGGACTGTGTGTGTGTGTGTGTGTGTGCACGTGAGCTTGTGTATGTATGTCACTACTGTTACAGTACTGTAACACTACTTTCATCTTACATTTCAGTTCAGATGGTATGAAGCTCAGAGGTCTCTGACTAAACTGATAGATCCTTCATAAGTGTGCATGTGTGTTGCACAGACATCTGTAAGGATTTAAGATGCACTAATCACTAGTTTATCATCCTTAGCCATGCTTGACCCTAAAGAACCTTCAACGATCATGCTTTTATGGAACTGGAATGAGAAAAATGTTTTCACTCACATTACCTTACTTAACCTCTCCAGTATAGTGAACATGGAATATTATGTATAGAATAGAAAGAGATGCAGTTTATTATGTCACACATAGTCACGTGAAACATAATTTTTAACACTGACTCAGCAACATTTATCCTTGTTTTCAGTTCTTTCTTTTACTTTCTTTCTTTTTCTTGTTTTATTTATACCATTGTAATGCACTGCAACTAAAGATACAAACACAACATAGGCTCATTGGAAAAAGTGTCTATTTACTCTACACACTATACATACAATTCACTGCAGTTTCCAGTTGAAATGAGCACTGGTTGCAGTAAACAACTTTTATTCCTTTTCACAGAAATTATGATTATATGGGTAGAGTATCTATTAATAAAGACTTGTTTTCTCACAGTTCCTTGCACAATAGTGTGTTTCTTAAAATGATAGTTCACCTCAAAATGAAAATTCTGTCATATTTTCCCACTCTCAAGTTCTAAACCTGTATGAATTTCTTTCTTCTGCTGAACACAAAATATACTTTGAAGAATGCTGGTAAACAAATGGTTGCTGGTAGCCATTGACTTCCATAGTAGTGTGTGGGGGGGGGAGACTATGTAAGTCAATGGCTGCTGGCAACTGTTTGGTTACCTATATTCTTCAAGATATCTTCTTTTGTGTTCAGCAGAAGAAAAAAACTCATAGGTTTGGAACAACAAAATGGTGAGCAAATGATGCCAGAATTTTAATGTTTGGGTGATCTATCCCTTTAAGCAAATGAGTTTTTATCTCACATTTACTTTTGTCAACATTATCGATAGGTTTAGCGTTTAGAGTAAGTGGTGCGTTGTTTAAAAACACGATAGAGCATTAAGATTTTAGCACCACTCCCCAAACATTTAATTTCCAAACTGCCGTTATATGTACAACAACATAATAAAATGTTACCAGATTCATGTTCATCTGTTTTGGATAAAACTAAACACCGGTTTAGCACTACTCAGTGTCGTGACAGGTCCAAGAGTATATTTAGCAGAAATATCACCACTGGCATGTTTTTCCAATGAGCCTTGGTTGGACAACTAAGTCTATAATACCTGAAAAAAAAAACTATCCATTAGCAATACCCTTTCATCTCAATGGAAGTTTTGCTGATGCAGGACCCCTGAAATTATGCAATTTGAATTTTGTGAGCACAGAACATTTTAGGCCAATCATTTTTTTATTATCTGTGTTTTTTGTTCTGTCACTGTCATTCTGTTACACTGTGGAAGCTTCTGTCACGAAAACAAATTCCTCGTATGTGTAAACATACCTGGCAATAAAGCTCATTCTGATTCTGATTCTAATTCTGAAAACACAAACATAGAAGCCCAACTGTGGATGGAAACATGCACATGTCTTCTGCCAGACAATAAAACTAACACCTGTCATACTATGGCAGAAACACCACTTGCCATTTAGTGACATGCACAACTGCACTCTTGTTTAAGTAACATGCACTGTAAACATAACCCCAGCTCTTTCCAGCGGCTGGAAATGTCTTTTTCTGTAAGATTTAGGGATGTCAGCGAACAAAAAACAAACAGGACGTTTACTTGTGGAGATGTGTGGATTAAAAAATAACAAATAAACTAAAACTAAAAAAAAGTAAATAAATATTTTTAACTCATATGGAAGCCCTATGGTCTCGCATTGAAATTTGATCAACAAATGTTGCTTTTTTGAGATATTTTCGTTAACCTTGACATTACAAAAGTAGTTTTAAGATCTAAAATATAAAGATTTTTTTTTCTTGGTCTTATATTTTTTTCTTGTTTTATATATATACATACATATAATTAAATACATTAAACTGATCTAAAGTGACAGTAAAGGCATTTAAAATGTTACAAGAGATTTCTGTTTCAGGCTAATGCTGTTCATTTAACTTGTCTATCATCTTTCTGTTTTTGTTTCCACAGGAATATTAAGCAGGAAAAACTGTTTTCAATATTTATAGTAATAAGAAATGTTTCTTGAGTGGCAAATCAGCATATTAGAATGATTTCTGAAGGATCATGTGACTGAAGCCTGGAGTAATGATGCTGAAAATTCAGCTTTGAATCACAGGGATAAATTACATTTTAAAATGTATCACTTATAATTGAGTACCAAAAATAATATATACTGCTGCATCATGGATAAGCAAATGTGTTTTACATGTATCTGGGACTCACTTAAGCAAAAATAACTCTCAGTGTCCTCAGTGATAAAGCCCTTCCAAATCAGTGTCTGACCGTTGAGAAGCAGACTATGAAATGATCGTCACAGACATTATAGTTAAGAAACTTGGACGTCTGCATGGTTCCTGCACGCTAAAGAAGGAACATTATGTCCCATGAGGAGGTATTATCAAACATATAAATAGTTTTGCAAATTTAATTAAAAATCCATTAAAAAAAACTTGTTTGAAGGAGATAGGTATTTATTTACATTATTATTCATGTATATGTTTATGTGTAACTAGCTTAATGTAGGCCTAGAGAAAATAGAAAAATGTTTTTGACACTGTAATATCCTACATCAGTGGTTCCCAACCCTGGTCCTGGAGGCACCCCAACACTGCACGTTTTGCATGTCTCCTTAATCAAACACACCTGATTTAGCTCATCAGCTCATTAGTAGAGACTCCAAGACCTGAAACTGGTGTGTCAGAGAAAGGAGACATGCAAAATGTGCAGTGTTGGGGTGCCTCCAGGATCAGGGTTGGGAACCACTGTCCTACATAGTCTGACAACATTTACACTTTCAGGTTATTAATCCTAAATGAATTCTTGGCATTAATATCTGAGGTTTTTGTTAGATGAGTGGAGTTCTGTTACCGGTATGACGCGCGTGCCGCTTTATCACCGTCGGCAGAAACGGCCAACTCTATCACGTGACACGCAGAGAAACTCCACGCGCTGAAGTAGAAGAAAAAAAAAATGATGCAACTCCGTAAGACAATTGCGTGGATTGTGTGATCCCCTCAGAGACATTTGAGAGCCCCGCGGTTGACATTATTCAAGCGCCCTTCCCCAGCTGAGTGTTACTTCCTGTAGCCCATTCATAAACTCCGTGGCAAAACCACAACAAAAGGCCTCGCGACGCGCGTCGAGGAGAGGAGAGGAGGAGACGTGTCGGTGGCCATGTCTTCTTCCCGCGCGGCTATTATTATCTCAAGGAAAGGGGCAATGACAATAGCAGTAGTCTTGCGCTTTCCAAAACGGGCCCCGTCCTGACCTGAGTGAGGTCACGTACCACAGTGCGAGTGCACGCGGTGCCACAGAGATGCCTCATTATGCGCGCCGAATAAACGCGTCAAATGAGTGCCAGACCAAAGGAACGGGACGCGACAATTTGGCATCATTAATTGATTGTATACGAGTTTTCAGGAGGGAAGTTAATGAACGAGGAGCTTTGTTCGCCCTGTCCTAAAACAATTCACAAATTGCATTAGGCTACTCAATTGTTCAGCTTCAGTAAACACAATGAGTGAACCCGAATGAGTGTTCCTCAATCTATCAAAAACTGCATGGAAAATTCGTTTTGGAAAGAGCTAGAAATAGGCCTACTTTCACTTTTTGTTGTGACGCATGGTCCAGAATGAGGTTTCGGCATTAGGCTGTTCAGATGAGTTCAAAAACATCATTATTACTTTACTGCTTGTTTATCTCAGTAAGTCCATAAGTTACGTTTTCTAATAGCCATTTGCATTAATGTATAAGGAATTTCGACAAAAATATAATTGATCTATTTAGTCATTTAGCAGACGCTTTTATCCAAAGCGACTTACAAATGAGGACAATAAAAGCAGTCAAAACTAACAAAAGAGCAACAATATATAAGTGCAAATGACAAGTCTCGGTTAGCCTAACACAGTACACGTAGCAAGGTGTGTATATATATATATATATATATATATATATACACACACACATATATAATACATATACATACACACACATATATATACACATATATATGGAGGACCAAACCTGCAGAAATAATAAATAAATAAATAACAGGAAAATAAAGAAATAAATTACTTGATAAAAACAAAAAAACAAATAAATGTAAATTCAATACATATTTATATTTTAAAACAAATACATGTAAATCCGTTTCAAAGTGATTAGTAGGTCTATTTAGTCTGCAAATACCGGTTTGCTGGATTGAATCTATTAAGAATACACCTTATTATTGTTATTTCCGATATGATACTTTGGGCTAAGCACACGTTTTCACTATTATACACATTATGTTCCGACACAAACAGTGACGCATTTTACGCGTTGTGTTCAAGGAAGCACCTCGGACTGGATCTCCACCAGCCAATGGGAGCAGAGGGGGGATCATTTAAGAAATAACTGATATTACCAATGCGTCAAACATGAGCGTGTCAGCGGGACCCAGTGCGCGTATAAATACCGCGAAGCGACCCGGAGAGAGCTAGTCATTTTGGAGAGCGCAAAGACAGCGAGGAACTCCTCATTTCACTTCAATCGATATTTATTTATTTATCTATTTATTCTGAGCCTTGCTTTGGGATGAACAGACTGCTTCTGAACTCCTTCTGGGTGGCAGCATTCAGCGCACTCCTTTCAGCGCCGGGGCTCCGGGCTTCTCCAGTGGTTGAGCAGGAACCAATCCGCTGCGCCCCGTGCTCCCCGGAGCGGCTGGCCGAGTGTCCTGCGGTTGATGCCGGCTGTGAGGAGGTGCTTAGAGAGCCGGGCTGCGGCTGCTGCCTCGCCTGCGCGTTGAAGAGAGGAGACTCATGCGGGATCTACACTGCGTCTTGCGGCTCGGGGCTCCGCTGCTTGCCCAAACCTGGAGAAGCCCGACCCCTGCACGCGCTCACCCGAGGACAAGCGGTGTGCACTGAGACCCCCGAACCTGACCAGAACCAAAGCGACAACACGCCAGGTACCAGCGTTTAATAAGACTGCACTGTAGCTGTCCATCATAATAGTCCTCATGTCCTCTTGCTGATTCAACCACTGGTGAGATTTCATCAGCAAATAATTTTAAATATCTGTTTTATTAGTTATTAAATGTGAATGTAAAAGAGCGCAATCTGTCGAGGTTCGTATAGCAAAAATGCAAATTGATGGCAACGTCAATTAGTAGCCTATATTTTGGAGAAAAAAAACTTTTCTCCAAAATATTTTTAAAAACAACACACACACACACACAAACACACACACACACAAAACCTGTAAAAATGGAAAATAATTGATTCAAATCTTCAAGATTTGAAGGTCTGATCCTTGTTTTTCCTTTCAGATCACCCTGAGTCTCATAACGCGCCAACGGCAGTGAATGAGGGCAGCTCAGCGGTCTTCGTGACCGGGCACGGCAAGCCCTTCGACCCGCGGGTCATCACTGCTAAAGAGAGCATGAAGGCCAAAGTCAACGCAATACGCAAGAAACTCGTGGAGCAGGTGAGCTTAAAGCACCTCAATTTAATGGATATTTATATCCAAAAGAGACGCGTAAAGGTTTAGTTAGGGAAATCAAATGAGACTCCGGTACCATGCGCGGCCACAAGGGGGAAGTAGAAGGATTCTTGAATTTTTCGTATAGGCTATATTTGGGATGAGTGGTTTTAATGCATTTTCAGTGCAAGTTCATTTAAGCGTGAGTGTATTTTCGATGGGCTTAGCCCCATCATAATTTGTCTTGAGGTTGTGTAAAAAATAAAATAATAATAATTAAAATGCTGAAATTATTGAATAAAATAAAAAGTTGGTATAATGTATTATTGTTATGAATTATTATAATTATTTATAATAATAGTTTTAATTATTATTAGTAGTAGCAGTTGTAATAATAATAATAACACTAATAATAATAAACAACTGAAACCATTTTATTTTAAAACCTTATTCATAACCATTAAATGAACGTCTATGTTTTTAGAAATATTTGAAAAGCTGTTTTATTTGAACAATGTCTCTAAATAACCATATTTGATCTTTCTAGGGTCCTTGTCATATTGAACTGCAGACAGCCCTTGACAAGATCACTAAATCACAGCAGAAACTGGGAGACAAAATGAACAGATTCTACCTTCCAAATTGTGACAAACACGGTTTCTACAAAGTCAAACAGGTAAGAAGAAGAGCCTTGTGTGCAAGTATGTGTTACAGAAACCACCTAACGTCTTGATTTCACATTGAGAGTTTGTGTGTTGGTATCTAAAGCTTATTGTGTGATATTCATCAACACGATGATATACGTGTGATGGCCGAGTGTTAGAACCACACTCCACTGAGAACTAGGCTGTGGATGCAAGCTTGTGTTTCTAGAGAGTGAAATAACCCGTCTCACGCTCACTCTCTTTGTCTCGTCCTCCTCGCAGTGTGAATCGTCTCTGGATGGTCAGAGGGGGAAGTGTTGGTGTGTGTCATCCTGGAACGGAAAGAAGATTCTTGGATCAAGTGACCTGCCAGCAGATGCCGAGTGTCCCGAGGAACTCAACCACTGATCTGTCTCTCACACACAAATAACGGGGGATCTGAAGTGCTCAACTGATCTCTCTCTCACACACATACATATTATACCACTGATTTTTATCATTATATTTTTTTAAATATCGTAGTATTTATTTATTGTTAGTGGTGGTATTTAATTCAGGTACACTGTTTTTGATTTGTAAACTCCCTAAACTCACCAAAAAAGAAGAAGAAAAAAAAGAAAAGAAAAAGAAAATCTATTTTTCTGTAAAGAAAATTAATATGTATTTTACATGAAGTACCCATACTTATTTATTTAAACTGAATGTATTCATTTCGATATCTGGATAAGAATATTTATTCTTTATGCCTTATACATATTTTTGTATGGTGCAAATCTGTATATTTGCTGTATGTAGATGACTGTGTCTTAAATTTCCTTCAGGCTTGCTTTGTTGGAAAGGAGTGATATGGAAAAAAGCACTGCATGACCAAACCTCTTTGTCACTGCCCGTACATTGCCATATTTTTATACTGTATGTGTTTTTATTATTATATTTTACTAATGAATTTTTTTTGTTTTGTTTATAATTATTGATATTAGATGGGCATAAAAGTGGGAATCCTTTTCCGTGTTTTTTACATGCAAAAGTATTGATCTTCACAGCTTTTGAAACGGGTAACTGCCTGTTCCTACCTCTGCCTTTTAAGTTAAGAGCTTTTTTTTAATCAAGTGTTTGTAAATTACTTGTCTGTATGATCAAAGTGAGATTACAGTCTTGCTGTATTTGTCGATCATATTTGTGTTGTCTACATACTGTGGTCCATTTATTATTTTTTTTAAGGGATGAGGAAAAGAGATTCAGACGTTGCTTCCCTCTGAAGCAGTCACTCAAGTGTATGATATATTTTTCATAGTTTGCAATTGTAAGTCACTGTGGGTAAAAAACAACAACAACTATTTAATAAATCATCTTTACAAGCACCTCAGTGTCAGCCGTTTAAACTCGCCTTCGGGTCAGACGAGAAGCTGCGGTGAACTATGAAGCAAGACTGAATCAAACTCCATTAGTAATGTCAGGACAAAACAACACCTGAACATAATGGGAAAACAGTTAACACAAACCACAAAGTGCAAAAATCTCTACTTCCTTCTCCTGATTTCTACTGCCAAGCTTGATTATGTTCTGTCTAGTCTATATTTAAAACTGCCAGCAGGCAGAACCATGTTTGTGTGTGCATATGTGTGTCCTTATCGTGGTAATCTCAAATGGGGTGGACTAACTTTAGCTTTGTATTTTGGGGAACCGGGCTCCACTCTCTCTACGGTGCCTTTAACCTGAGCTGTGTTTTGCTGGCCAGCCAGCGGTACACCCTTCCCTTTTTCCTGATGACCAGCCTCCGCAACACCACCCTTTACACCTTTATCTCATTTTTGTAAACCGCAGGAGACAAAATTTAGTTGCTTCACTGGAAATATCTAGCCCTACTTGACATTAGGGGTGTCTAAATTACTTGATTGGTAGCAAACAAACACATCATGCAAGTAATTGTAACACCTTGTTTGTGGTTTTGCAATTAGTATTTTCATGGAATTTTAGAATTCATTATGGACACCTAAAATTAAGTTGGGAGGAAAAAGTACCTTCCTGAGTGTTTGACCTCATCTATATGAGCGATTTCATTTCATGAATTGTGGCATCGCAGCTTCTTTTTTGAGAATTGGCTGCGCTGACATGGCTTGGACAAGCGAATAACTATGCTAATGTGAATAGGGTCTCTGTGTGTAAATTTGAGGAGTAATGACCTGTGTGGGGCTCAAGCTAGAGTGTGAAATGAAGCAGTTCAAAGATGTTGACCCTGTTACACACGAGATCTTAAATCTCCATTGCCCCCGGCACTCTGTTATACTAATGACCAAATTACTGTAGCTAACATATATGCTTTCTGTGAAAGAACCATTGTTTTGAAACTCTTGACGGTGACACTAGTCACCTTATCTAAAATGAATGAATGAGTACCAAATACTAAAAACTAATCTGAACTGAATACTATAGGGATAGTTCACCCATAAATAACAAAAATCTTTATGTTGTGGAAGAAGATATTTTGAAGAACTGCTTTTGTCAGTTGAACTCAGTCACAACATTGGACTCCACTGACTTTCACTGTATGCACACATTCAAATTGACAGAATTTTCATTCAAGGGTGAACAATCCCTTTTAAATGTTGTAGAAGCTGTGAAATTACAGTCTGTCATTGTGTAAATAAAACAGTTTACATTTTTTATTTAAAAAAAAAGACATTAAATACAAATTATATTTGAACAAAAACATTTCCTTTCTTGATGAAAGTGATAGCTGTATAATTTCTAGTTTAGTAACATAAAAAGCTTTTTAAAGAATCAAAATTTTAAATGAAAAAAAAAAAAAAAAGCAATTACCCGTGAACGGAGGGATATTTAAAAGTGACTTGCGGGCGAGAGACCCTGGCATTGCACAGAATGAGGGTGGCAAGCTTTCTTGAAGATCAACTAGCTTGAACATTGACCTTGATGTTCTTTGAAACACAAGCTTGGCCTCAGCTTTACTTATTCTTAGCGTTCACTTTACTTTAGCTTAGTTTAGCTCAGGTTAGCTAAAGTTAAGCTTAGATTTAGCTTAATTCATACCATAGAAGGCCTACATAACCTGAAGATTCAAACTAGAGAGTTTTTACACAAAACGATTCGAGGACAGCATCTTTGCTAAGCTAACAAAAGACACATTGTACTCCGCTCTGTAGATAAACAACAAATCTAAAACAAAAAAAAAGACTTTAGTGATTATATTCCCAAAAATATGCTGAGTTCTATGTTTCACTACTGTGCAATCAACGGGTCATTGAATTGTTCTCAAAGACAGTTTGGATCAGCTTATATTTCTTTCTTGGATAAATAATCTTTTTAGCATAAAGTTCACATGCCTCTTTAGACATTTAGCTGGCCTGAAACAAAGTATCTATTCATATAAAAATGGTTTACAAGTCATAATTAAAAGCTAAGGAAGGGCTAATAGCTTAGCATACTTCTCTTTCCCCATAATCAAGTCAGATAAGGTGTAGCACCAAACATTTTTGTTTGTGTTTTGTTTAGCTGTTTGGGAAAGGGGTGAGCTTTTTGTCGATGCTATGCTAATAAGCTAACATGTGGGCTACCTCTCTGGCACCCTCCACCTTTCAAGTCTTTTCTCAGGAGGTCAGTTTTGAGACAACAACACAAGCCCTGGTTATCCTGTAGCTTTCCTACTGGGATTGATATTGATGTTTAGAGAGACAGAGGGTGAAAAAAACCTGCGACGCATTTTCACACGGGTTTTGTTAAGGCATCGATTTCACAAACTGCCATAGCTACGCTGATTTCGCAGCGGTAATTCAGGGCACTGTAGCGTTACGGTTACATTCAAACCCATAAACAAGACGTCGCGCAAGATACATGCTTTCAGCGAACATTTAGAAATGTGATAGACAATGATAGTCAGCGACTGGAGCAACAATCTTATATTCAAAGTGCTTCATGATGTTTTGAAGGTGAGATAATGTCCACGTGGAGCATAACAATGCTATCCTGATGACACAAGCTAACAGCTCTGTGTCCAATATAAGATATACAGGTAATTTAAAAAAAAAGGGTGTTCATCTAAGTATTTCCTGGTATAGAATCGTTTACAATTGGTCGAATAGTTTTATTTATCTGTTGGCCGTAGTAACAGGCTGGAGTATGTGTTCAGGAGAGGCCAAAGTGCATGAAGTGCTTGTACTTCAGATGGAGTCTATGGCTAGAGCTGCCTAGTGCCACTGAGCATGCCCAGTTTAAACGACCCTACACCAGGAGGGCAGAAACAGGAAGTGGGACTAAGAGAGAGCCGCTGGCAGAGAGCGATACCCGCTGCAGCAGAATAGAGAGACGGAACAAGTACACAACGTCCCTCACATACACAAGAGTACATATGCTCAGACTTAGCGTGCCGTTACGGAGTTAAAATTTGCTTGTACTTTTGACTATGTTCACACTTCCCTCTCAGGATACACTCCAAAACTGAAGACATGACACTCTCTCTGTCTCCTCTCATTCTCCCCATGCACTCTCCTGAAGTGTAAAGTGAGTTGCTGGTCACATGAGTCCATGCCTCATCATACAAGTGGGAGGTCAGCTTTGGGACAGCACTTTTGAATTTGTATTCATGCAGTTCTTCAGGGGAGATATCCCTCTTTGTCTCCCTGTTTCCACCGCTCTGCCTCTCCCTCCCCTTCACTTTGTCTCCATGTTAATACAGTGGACTTTCTCCTTTCCGTCATAGCCGGGTATGGGTTGTCCGTACTTGTCCACGCACCAGCAGTAACCTCTTCTGCGCCCTTTGGATGGACGGCACTGTGGGGAGAGTGGGTGAGACAGGAAGAGAAATGCAAAACCATATGATATTTGGACGGGTATATACAAAACAGACAACATGCTCCAAATGGAAGAGACAGTGTCATAAACACATATTTCTCATCGCATCACACTTGGGTGAGAGAGAGTAACACGAATACTAGAGCCAGAGAGAGAAAGAGGGAGAGAGACTGGGGTAAAGGAATGCCAGAGGGGATTCAAGGGGAAGTATGTAAGGAATAGAGGGACAGAGCAAGTGAAATCTGTTGAAATATTAATATATACATACAGTACACACAATATACATCCTCTTTTGTAATTTGTAACTTTTAGATTTGTTGCCATTTACAGTATCATGTGCTGATAAATTCACAATTCGCCTGAAATTATAGAAAAGAAGATCGATTTACTGTGTATTTATTCTTGATGATAAATTACCTCACATATCACATTACATTACAGAAGCTAAAAATGTTCATATTAAACATTTCCCTTTCTTTGTGTTTTCAGTTAGCTTTTAGTTAGCAAGCTACCAGCTTTTTCCACATTTTTACGTGTACACTAGGGTGCACGTAAAAAATGTGTACATACATTTCATCATCAGTATAGTACTCACTTAAATTTTCTTAATTATAACAACAGAACAAGAGACGGAAAAACAATAGCATTAGAAACAAACTACTGGAAACATCAACAACAAACGACTGCGTTGCAAGCACTT